TGAATTAGCCACTGTTGAACCACTTAGGGCAGCAGTGGGACAGTTGTGAGAGAAATATTACAGTAAACTAAAAAAATTTAACAAAAAGTCCGGCAGAAATTGGTCTAAACAACAGATAGAGACACACTTGTTGCCCTTCGCACCAATAAATCAATATTTACCTGCACTAACTGTGTGAGCGTATAAAACTGAGTCAAGAACTAAAGAGGAATTTTTCTATTACCTTCTTAAATAAATGTTATTAATAATTTAGAGAGGTCTGAAGGCAAAAGAGGGTCCAAGGTGATACTAAGATGTCATAAACAATTAGAGGATGCCGCTACACAATGAGAGAGTAAAATGTATCTTGTCCTGTGGCTTCCTCCCAGTAGTGTACTTGCACAACACTGCTTTAGGAAAGAGTCCAAAAAATATTTATCAGATATTCAAACCAATTCAGCTTTCTTTCTTAAAGTTTGAGAAACGTATGAGCTCCAAGACATGAGATTAACAACTTGTCTCCAAGGGTCAGCTGCTTATATCCAGATCTCAAGATCAGTTCTCATGGTAACTGATCCCAGTAAAGGGAGGTAATAAAGGGGTAAGAATATAGATTGTCTTGTAAATGCATCTCTTTTTGGCTCAGCATTTTGTTGGGTCAAAATAGGATGATGACCAAAGTAACCAGACTTTTCGCTCAGTTGCAGTCAGATGCAAATCAAAAGACTTCACAACCCAGGAAAACAGTGTCTTTGATTTGCATATGACTTGGAATGTGCTTGGGAAGATGGGCCTCCCTGTTGCACTCCAAGTATTTGCTGTATTGCAAATTGAAAGAATTGAGAAAGACTCCTAGATACAGTAGGTGTTGAAACATCTTCAGAAAAAAAGAAATGCCCATTTTCACTACCCTTCCAAGACCGTGCCAAGAACAGTCCAAGCATGGTAACAGAGATAACTGTTGAGTGTAAATGGAAAGAAACTGAACTGGACCGTGCCAGACAAAACAAAACTATGCTAAATCTCTTACTAGTTCAACACTAGGGCTCAGCATGGTTCAGTTCCGGATGGGTTATCTGATAACAAAGAGCGGATGAGCAGACCGCGTCATCTCCTATTTACAATGAGCTGGCTCATTTCGCGGACTTCTTCTCAGCCTATTAACAATAAATGACATCGGAAGAGCATGGTGCGACCTAGGATGATGCCGAGACCGAGGCTCTCATTGAAATTTGGGTGTAGGACGATATTGAGGTACATTAGTTCCTGAATTTTAAGGGTGTCGCCATCTTTGTTTGTGTAATTCCCACCTTGAGAGCTGTAGTATAGTTGATCACCGATAGGAGGTGAAGAACCATGCTAGCATAATGTGTAAATAATCATAAGAACCAAGCTTGGCACGGTTAACTGATCCAAGCTTAGTTCAAACTCGGCACGGATCGTTTCAGATAGTTTTGCACCGATGCCGATACCAGTATCAGGTGGGGCCCTGATTCTGCACTAAAATGGTGGTATAGGTATCGGTGAGTACCGACAAAAAGGGCACCAATACCATTTTGAGAGCTAAAAGTTTATTCAACTATTTTTACCCATTCCAAGTAGGCAATAAAAAGTTCCACTGGATTCCCTTTGTATTAGTCTTTTTCCTGCTTCACAAAGGTAGGCAGCATCTTGACAAAGTCATGATAGTAATTATTTTACATCCAAATAGTATGCAGTTCTTCATATAAATACACACACAGATCAATTTCAAACAGATGGTAACGGTATGGTATCAGCATGGGCCAATACTGTACAGCCAGGTATCGGGTATCAGGTATCGGGGCCAAAAAAGGCCATCTGCGCAACACTAGTTTCAGAGGGGTAGTGTAAATGGGGCATAGGCTTATGTCTTCCTGATTGAACCCTGTTTTGTTGTAGCCACGGCCCGGATGACTGAGAATTTACACCGGCATGTGAGTGACTCAATCTTGAGTTTTTAAGGGTTTACAACAACATTGTGAGCATAAAGAAATACATATTTGACATTTTATTTAATAAAATACAAGAATTCCTGGAAGGACTGATAGCTGAAACAAATGAAACCAAAGAGCAAGCCCTTTACTTTTCTTTTCCTTTTGACCAAATGCCAAACCTTTATGGCACCAAAAACAGTCTCGCACTCAAATGCCAAGCTGAAATTAATCTAAGTGAAACTTAGACTAAGCAATTGTCTGTTGAAGCATTTCTACAAAATATATAAAACAGTGTGTTTGAAGGAGCTCAGGCAAGAAGTCTTTAGCTGGAAGGAAAAATATCATGCAGAGGCCGACTTAATCAGCAAAGAAGGTCTAAACCCTTGAAACTGAAAAGCTGTGAAGCGGCAAACACAATAAAAAAAAATAAAAAATCATGTCTCGGTTTTCACCACCATGGCCGTGGAGTCTCAGAGGGGGTGTGCTTTCTGCTTCAAGATGTTTATTTTCAATTCTTGCCATTTTGCCAGAGGATTTCTGTCAGTGAGTGAAGAGCAGAAAGAGTCTGGCTCCTTTTTAAAACTGAAGAAGTGCACTAGAAAGGTAATGTTTTCTCTTTGTTTTCCCAGAGCTTAAAGAGAACAGGCTATTTTTAGGTTACTCACAGTGACTCATGATCTTTGCTAAGGAACACAGAAAAAAAAAAACAAATGCCACTTTACATGATTAACATGTGTTCGGTTTACAGCAAGACAAGAAAGTGATGTAAAGAAGGCTTCAGTCCGATATGCTTGGCTAACTACACGGATCGTGTTGATGTCAGACTCATCTCACACATGTCCATCAGCTGAGACCGATCTAACCCTAATGATGCAGCAGAATTAAGGAAGTCACCATGGCAACAGCCTGCTGTCTCAAAAAGCAAGGACACATGGGGGGCCTACTCTCCCTGACTGGGAGAGAAGATCAACAAGAGTAACTAATCATTACATAGTAGCTTGAGTTTGAGACTCTGACTGGAGTCGCACCGCAGTCACAAAAACAAGATTTTAAGCTTGACTTGGACTTAGTAACATTTTTTATATCATATAATGTAGATGGAAATGTCAATATGCAACAAATTGCAGCTTCTGTTATGAACTTACTGAACTTGATTACCAACCACTGACTTTGATGGTTTACTATGTGGCATTAAAGACTCACAGCTGTTCATGTTAGCAGTACTACTACATTCAAAATATCAATATAACTCACAGTAAATGCTGTATTAAATGAGTTTGGATCAAATATAAAACAAAATCAACTTTCTTCCAACAAATATATGCTTTCACTGCCCAGTGAGCTATTATCACAAGGATGCTTCAGCTTCAGCATTTCAAGAATATTTTACTGTTACATTTATTGCGAAGTTCAACACTGTTATTTATGCTGAGATCAGACGTCAGTGATGTAACTGGAACGACTCCCCTCTGAAGTCACACTCCAATGACGGAGTTTACTTAAAAGGTATTGTGGAGGATTTTCGCGAAAGACCTGCGCCTTCCCCTTAAAAAAAAAAAAAAAGCACATCGACAACCCTGTACCCGCTCCCGAGAGGAAACAGCTACTAAACACTTGCGAGAAGCATGCACAAACCCATTTGCCCTCGTGCAAGCTCTGTATTAAAGTTGCTGTTCTCATAGCTCATACAAACTTAGTGTGTCTGAACGTCCGGCCTAACCCCTACATCCTTCAATCACTATATAGAGTGGGGACTATATAGTGGAAGTTATAGCAGATCAGTTAACTTACCATTTGGTCAGATTAGTACTTTTTGCTCCCCGTTGGTCTGGTAACTCCTCCTCCACTGCACGATGCCTATGCCATCTTTGTTATTAGTAGCAACTGTCGGGAAGCGACAGCCATTTGTGACGCTGTGACAGCAAATCCAATAATGCTTTGCAAGGAGAGCTTTCCGCGCAAAGCATTCTGGGATATATCTGCCTCTTCTAAGGCCTTTCTTTTCTTTTGCTACACTTCGTAGGCACTATTTCTCTTACGGCCCTAGCCCATTTTCAAAGAACCGCTTTGAGAAAGGTGAGTGTCAATGACTGTCTGAAACCGTAGGTCACCACACATATATGACTGAAGGTGCACATTTGCAGAAAAGGATAGCTAACTGGGGACAAGCACGTAGGACGATCTTATGAAAACATATTACCAAAATGATTGACAATTAGGAGGACCACACCACAGATGAACCACCCGGAAATAAAAGAGCATCCTCTATCCTCATGACCAAACGGTTATTAACGTGTCAAACTAAGAAATACTTTAAGGAAATATATGCAAGCAGTGTTTACATACTTTCTTTAAGCAATATTCGCAACATGTATATTACATAGCTGAAGCATCGTTTTGGTCTGTCACAATAGGATGCCATGAGAGATTTAGCAAAGGACATGATTTTACCATGAAAAAACATGCATGAATACTTTGTCAAGGTACAAGAAAATGAACAACTTGAAGAAAGCATGTCGTCTGTTCACCCTTACAACAAACTTTGGCTAAAAAAATACCATTTTACACTCAAGAAACATCTGGATGATTGTTCCTAAACGCCTCATAGATCAAAAAGGACTGCAATTCTCGCCGTGACAACAGAAAGCTGGAAGTTGCTATATAAACGATGACATTTTAACATCACAATGTCAGAGCAGTGATGTGGGCTGTTGTATAAAAGCTTTGTGTGTAAATTGATTCAGAACGTGGGCCAGATGCCAGGTCTTTGATTATCCGCTGCCAGCTCAGGATCAGGAGGTGTTCCTGTCATTAGAAGACATGGACCTCCTGCTGGGAGTGATATTCAAAGGGCTGCAGTCTGTGCTGCTGCTGCTCAGCAAGCTCCCTGCTGAGGCGACTTGGCTGTCACCTCCGCCGCCAATGCGGTCCAGGCGATCATAAGCAGCCAAAGGAGGGCTGCTGGGTACAAGAGAATATCTGATGGTTGTACTGGAGATTTGTGCGTTTCAGACAGAGTGAAAAGGAGTTTCGTGAAGAAGATGACATTTTGTAAATATTACTCACTGTCCACCGAAGAGCTGCATGCCAAGCAAAGCAAAGACCACGATGAAGAGGAAAAGGAGGAAGAGCAAGCTGATGATGGACTTCATGGAGTTGAGGAGGGAAACAACAAGATTTCTTAACGAGTTCCAGTATCTGAGAGCAAAGGAACACAAGGAGGAAACACTCTTACCTTAAATATTACACCAAGCCAAGATCAAACAAAAATGCCCAGAAACAACAGATGAAAGATTTTTTAAACAGTCAAGGTTTTTAAATATTTTATTTATTATTTGTAACATGTATAAACAATAAGTTCTTAAGTTTAAACTTAAAGCAAATCCAAAACGCTCATTAAGTTTGTTCAAGAGACATTGTTCTAGCAGTAGATAAACTGAAACAAACTTACTTGGTGACTTTAAAAATCCTTAGGAGTCTTAAGGCTCTCAGCACACTGATCCCAAACGATGCTCCCGGTTTAATCAGGTCCCAGATTACCTCAAAAATACTTCCTACGATAACCTAAAACAAAAGAACAAAGGAGACATTTAGTAGCTGTTTTTACTGCTTTGATGAAGAGAGGCCTAAATTAACCGACTGTGAGAAATTAAGTAAAATATACTCTGCAGATTTAAAAAGAGCTCTTCAGAATGTTCCTTAATCATTATATTTCATTTTCTGTCCAAGTGTTTTGTTCCTTTTTTATAGTTTACAGGTCGTAAATTCAGAACTCATTGAACTACTGAACCCATTTTTTTTAAATCTCAATAAAATAAAACAGTATTCATTGTAAAAAATATTAAAGTTCACAGGTTTTTATTTTAAATTTATTTTCACTCTCTTTGCAGTGATTTATTAACAGTGAAAAGGAGACTAATCAGCCAAATGTGAAAAGTGAAATTTGACTTCAAAGTTTATATCCCTGCATAGCGATGATCATGTGTGTTAGTTAAGGTGGCAAACAGAGATGGAGGTTAAGGTAAAGATGGTCTGATTTAAATCCAGCATTCTACTCTTTCCAGCCTTAGTTTAACCTATTTATTGATTCCAAAAATGCAGTCATATATCTTTCTGCAACAAATCAGGCTGCAGCTCCATGAAATGGTACCGGTACATGATAAGAGAGGCTGCCTGAGATGATTCTACCTCGACATATCACAGAATATCTTCAGTACTTTCTTAAAGATTACACCAAGATGTTATGTCAAGCAGTAAGCCTGGTGGATACATCGGTTTCCCAGTAACTCATTAATAAAGTTGACCTAAACTCAGACCTAGTTGCTTTCTCCGCCAAGATGTTTTGTTTTTTTCCTTCTTTGAACATAGATCTGATGTGCCTTGGCAAAAAGTTCAATTTTTGACTGATCTGTCATTACGACATTCTTCTAGAAGAATTGTAGACTGTCTACATTTAGTTTGGCAAATTCTAGTTTGGCTTTTTTATTATGTATTTTCAACAATAGGGATCTCCTCAGTCTTCTCCCATTAAGTCCACTTTGGCTCAAACAGTGGCAAATGGTGTGATCGAACACTGATATTGTTGGGATCTGGAGGCTTTGTCCACTTTGTCCACTTTCTCCACCAGAGGGCTCACGAGATCTCCTGGGGGCATGAGCTGACTGCAACACCTGTCTTCCATCTGCTCATCAGGAAACCCTATTTAAGGAGGAGGAGGCTAACACTTCCCTGCCAGAGTGTTTGCCAGTAATGGTAGAGCTAGACCTGAGCCAAACAACCAGATCTGAATCTCTGACTTTTGTGAACCTGCCTGACCCTGTTTCTCTCTGCCTCACAGATTGAGTCCTGTCTGAAGACCTGAAATCCTGGAGAGTGATCTCTGTCTGGAATCTGCCTGTCTGCACTCAGTTAAGCCTCTGCCTCAGCCCTCTGCCTGCCGACTAGCCTCTGGACCCTCAAGGTTCCCCTCCTGCAGCTTCGTTCCACCCTTGAGCAGGTATTTATTCCAACATCAGAAAACCTGCAGTTAACCTGGATCAACACTAACCTCTCTGTCCTCCTCAGTGGTGTTCCCCTCGTGACCTGTCTGCCGAACCAAGGACCAGTTCTTACTCATTGTATATTTTGTAAATAAACCTTTGAACTTTTTCCCTGTCTCATGAGTGTTTCTGCATGTGGGTTAGACACCTTGAACCCAACATGACAGATATGGCTGAGGGACTGTGGTTGGCTACAGTCCCGTTGATCTTAAATTTCTGAATAATATGTAAAATTGAATTCACAGGAACATTAAGTTGCTTGGAGATAGTATAATAGCCTTTACCTTTTCTATAATCTTATTTCTAATCTCCTGAGAAAACCTTTTCCTCCACTTCCTCTGGTTTAGGTTGAGTTTGGTACCCAAATCCACAAAGTGGAAAACACTGTGGAAAACAATGTCTTTTACATCTCCATCACATCTCCACTGCTAACCCTGAGTCACCACTTTGACCGACTGTCATGTTCTGTCTTTTAACTAGTGTTGGGCATTAGCTTGTTCAAATAATCTTTCATAAGTAGTAATGACTTTTTTGGAAACTTTGAACCTGCTGCTATGTTATACATGTATGAGGAACTACTATTCTGCAAACTCAATATGGCCCTTCCCAGTCAAACGCCAGCTGAATAGCAGCCCTCTCCCCTGCGACTCCCAGCCTAAATCTCCACCAACTTCCAGCCACTGGCCTTCTACTGGGCATGCATTTTTTTCCCCTCTAACTACCCTTTCACTAAACTAAACGGTCTGACCAGGATATGAAGCTTCTCTTTAGATCTTAATGTTCTTAAATCATGACAGAAACAATATTTTAGTACAAAGATTGATGTTTAAAAAGGAATTGTAGGGGACCCATTAAAGAAAGTGCAGAAATTTTAAATGGCTGCTACTGTATGTGAACTATGAACAGGAATTTATTCATTTCAAACATGAATGAGATTAACTTAGAACTAGGTCTTGTTAAATATCCACTGATCCTCGTGCCCTCTTAGGTTTTGGTCTCCCAAATTATGCTGTAATTAGACCAATCCCTCTCTGTCTTTGACTGTTTAGACGGTGTGTGCATGTGAAGCTGCACAAAAATGTGCACAATTTTGAATGCAATTTTATATTTTTCCATCTAATATGAATAAAAGTGAACTTGTCCTACTGCCATTCCTAATTAACAGAAGCCATTTAAAATAATTGAACAAATCAGGTTTAATCTTTAAAAACAGGCATTTCTGATTATAGCCAGGAACAACTTACCCCAAAATCAAAACAGTTAAAGGATGAGTGGAAGTAATTTCTCGCTCCAAGGCCGTACATCTTCAAAGTCATCTCCGTTAGAAATAAGCCCAGAAAAACCAATTCTGCTGTGTCTAATTGTGAGATATTAATGAAAAGTTTTAATCAAAGTGTTCAGTGAATATCCGGATTAATTTATTTATATCAGGAGATCACTCACAGAGAGCTCTGGTCAGCCACTCAGGTTGGTCGTAATGTACGATGGCCACACAGAGAGTGTTGAGGCCCACCAAGCACAGGACAATCCAGTAGAAACTTTGGGCTTTCACCATACGCCGAATGAAGAAGCGGAACCTTTTCTCTTTACGCCGGAAGTAAGTTGAGCTGTCCATCTTTCCGCCGCTTTTCACGCTGGCTCGCCCAAAAGGAGAACCGGGTGGAACTGAAATAATCGCAGGGGGAAAAGATGAATGATGATGACATTTTCTTTCAACTACAGATTGCTTTTTAAGTCATTTTGTAATTTAAATCCTCACACATACAGAGGTCTCCACCTCTGGCATTTAATGGCTTAATTCTTTTTTCGCAATATTCCATTCCGTTTAGAATAGTAATCAGTTTGTAACAGGGAAATAAATCATGAAACAAGAGCTTCCTTCAGGAGTTGTCACATTATAAACTCTTATCGTTATTTGTTTGCAGAAGCTTATGTGATGAGAGAATCAGATATATATTCCCTGCGCACAGCTTTTTATGGAAAACAGTCAGTAGAGACGGTTTCTAGGTGTTTAAACTGAAAGTAACAAACGATTAAGTTAGTAAATTAATGTTTCCAAGGAAAAATATTTAGCAACAATAGTGTAGAGAGAAAATATACCATAACATGCTTTAGGCGATTTTCTTGCATTTTAATTCAGCAGTATGATTAAAAAAAGTTAATTATCCTATTTCTCCTTGTAGGAGAAACACATCTGTAGCCTGAAAAAGTAACTTTATTCCCCTAGATTAATACAGAGTTAGGGCTGTGATATTAAATAATATTGTGCAGGTGTTCAGGTTAATTGAAGGTTAATTCCATTTTACAAAAAATTAGAAGCCCCAGTTATTGCCAAGAATTAGAAAGTCTTCTGTGGAAAAACCTTAAAAAGAAAGTGACGCTAATAAGGACTGTTATTTAGCTGTTATCTTTAATAGTGCATTTAGAGAATTAAAATAGACAACAAACCAAGTTCCAGTCAATGAAAAAGTTCTCAACAGTGCAATAAACTTTGGACTACAAGAACTTCTATTATGTGAGAATTTTTGCAAATAGAATAGAATAGAATATCCTTTTATTGTCAATTTAACAAGTAAAAGGAGATTTAAAAAGTGCCATCCAGTCCATGCATTACAGTTTAATAAAAAGCTACATGAAAAAATATACATCAAATAAATGAACTCTCTTGTTATAGCAGAAGTCTGTATGGTTGCTAAAATGGCTAAAACTTCGAGACTTGGGCTGCATTTTTGCCATTTTTAGGCTGATTCTCCAGTGGTATGAGAATTTTTTGGGTCGGTCTGACTTTAAGCCTCATCGTGCGTGCTGCGTGGTATACAGGGGGTAACTTCGGAGAGACGGCATCCATCCCACTTTGGATGGTGCAGCTCTTCTTTCTAGGAATCTGGCCACATTTATTAGTCCTCCAAAACCCTGACCACCCAGGGTGCAGACCAGGAAGCAGAGTTGTAGTTTAACACACATCTCTGCAGCTTCTCTACTGTTACCCACTCTTTACTCCATCCAGACAGTGTCTTGCCCACGACCAAAATCTAATAAATTAGCAAAGATTCCCAAAGGAGTAAATCATGATAATCTAATTAAAATCAAAATAACTCCAATTGGGGAAAAAGTTAAAACAATTAAATGCGGTCTGTTTAACATAAGATCGCTTTCCTCTAAAAGTCTACTAGTTAATGACTTGATTTGTGATAATCACATTGACTTGTTTTGCCTTACAGAAACCTGGCTGCAGCAAGAGGATTATGTGAGCATAAATGAGGCAACTCCTTCAAGCTATTTAAATTTTCACATCCCCAGAAGTTCTGGGCGAGGAGGAGGAGTAGCAACAATCTTCGAGTCTGACTTACTGATTACTCCCAAAACAATTAATTCCTACAACTCTTTTGAACATTTAACCCTTAATTTCCCTGATCCAAATTTCAAAGCAAGAAAACCTCTTCTTTTTGTAACTTTGTATCGTCCACCAGGTCCTTACTCTGAATTTTTAGATGAGTTTTCAGAGTTCCTTTCTGATTTGGTATTAAATACTGACAGGGTCATCATAGTGGGAGATTTTAACATCCATGCTGACATTGAAGGCGATAGCTTAAGAGCAGCCTTTAATGCTATCTTAGACACTATTGGCTTTTTTCAAAATGTGAATAGTCCCACGCATTCTCATCTTCATACTTTGGATCTTGTGCTGACATACGGCATAGAATGTGAAGAAATAACAGTATTTCCTCACAACCCTGTCCTCTCTGACCACTTTCTAATAACCTTCAGGATTACTTTAACAGAGTTCTCCTCCCCCAAAAGAAGGTTCAATTTTAGTAGATCTTTATCAGATAGTGCAGTTATAAATTTTAAAGAATCTGCTTCACTTTCTCTCTGCTCTGTGTCACTGAGCAGTGCTGCAGAGTGCAAAAGCTTAGCTTATTCCCCTTCACAGGTTGATGATTTTGTTGAGGGGGTTGCTAGTTCTCTGCGTATTGCCTTAGACAACGCAGCTCCTTTGAAAATGAAAACCGTTAAAAATAGAAAGCTTGCTCCTTGGTTTAATGCAGAGCTGCGTACTTTGAAGCAAAATGCTAGGAAACTGGAGAGAAAATATCGCTCCACAGGCCTGCGAGAGTCCTTCCTAATCTGGAAAAATGGTTTACTGCTGTATAAGAGGACCCTTTGTAAAGCAAGAGCAGCATACTTCTCCTCATTAATAGAGGAGAATAAGAATAATCCTAGATTTCTTTTTAATACAGTTGCCAAACTCACCCAGAGCCATAGCTCTGTTGAACCGTCCATTCCACCTGCTCTTAGCAGCAATGATTTTATGGGATTCTTTATAAATAAGATTGATCTTATTAAAAATAAGATCATAAGCACTCCTCTATCCGCGATTGTACCTGAGGTAGTCATGGAATCTGAACCGGGTTTAGACTGCTTTGATCCAGTTGAACTCTCTGAATTAGCAAAATTATTGTCTTCATCTAAGCCTTCAACTTGTATGTTAGATCCAGTTCCAACCAGGTTATTTAAGGAGGTATTCCCTTTGATCTCCTCCTCCATTTTAGATGTGATTAATCTATCTCTGTTACAGGGATATGTACCTAAAGCTTTTAAGATTGCTGTAATTAAACCTCTGCTTAAGAAACCGTCTCTTGACCCAGATGACTTGGTCAATTATAGACCTATATCCAATCTTCCTTTCTTATCCAAAATTCTTGAGAAAGTAGTTGCCAAACAAGTTTGCGATCACTTCCACCATAATGAACTTTTTGAAGAGTTTCAGTCTGGCTTTAGAGCTCATCATAGCACTGAAACAGCTCTGGTGAAAGTCACTAATGATATTCTCATGGCCTCAGATAATGGACTTGTATCTGTGCTCGTCCTGTTGGATCTTAGTGCTGCATTTGATACAGTTGACCATAATATTCTTTTAGAAAGACTTGAATATTTTGTTGGAATTAAAGGAACAGCACTAGACTGGTTTAAATCTTATCTATCTGATCGAATTCAGTTTGTTCATGTTAATGATAGATCTTCAACACGCTCAAAGGTTACCTGTGGAGTACCACAGGGATCAGTGCTAGGACCAATTCTCTTTACTTTATACATGCTCCCAATTGGTAGAATTATTAGACAGCATGGGATTAATTTCCACTGTTATGCTGATGATACCCAGCTATATCTGTCTATAAATCCAGATGAAGCTAACCCATTACATAGATTACAGGCATGTCTTGAAGACATAAAAACCTGGATGACTCTTAATTTTCTGCTTCTGAATGCAGACAAAACAGAAGTTATAGTCTTTGGAACAGAGTCTCTGAAAAAGAAACTGATTAGTCAGTCACTTCATTTGGATGGGATTAAACTGATTTCAGATAATAAAGTAAAAAATCTTGGTGTTATTTTTGATCAGGACCTGTCATTTAAATCCCATATCAAAGAGGTTTCTAGAATTTCCTTCTTTCATCTGAGGAACATTGCAAAAATTAGAAATATCCTGTCCAGGGGTGATGCTGAGAAACTAGTCCATGCATTTGTTACTTCAAGGCTGGACTATTGTAATTCTTTACTATCAGGAAGTCCACAAACTGTAGTTAAAAGCCTTCAGCTGATCCAAAATGCTGCAGCCAGAGTTCTAATGAAAATGAAAAAGAGAGATCATATCTCTCCTATCCTGGCTTCTCTTCATTGGCTTCCTGTTAAATCCAGAATAGAATTTAAAATCCTCCTTCTCACATATAAAGCCTTAAATGGCCAAGCTCCATCTTATATCAGAGATCTGATTGTTCCTTATGTTCCTAACAGAGCACTTCGCTCTCAATCTGCAGGTTTACTAGTGGTTCCTAGAATTTCTAAAAGTAGAATGGGAGGCAGATCTTTTAGTTATCAGGCTCCTCTCCTGTGGAACCAACTACCAGTTTTAGTCCGTGAGGCAGACACTCTGTCTACTTTTAAGGCTAGGCTTAAAATTTTCATTTTTGATAAAGCTTATAGTTAGGGTGGCTCAGGTTATCCTGAGCTATCTCTATAGTTATGCTGCTATAGGCTTAGACTTTTGGAGGACATAGGGACCCCCATTTCATCATTCTGCTTCATTCTCTTTCTGTTCTCCTATTCTGCAGAATCTGTTAGTTCAATCTCTAACCTTCTGCTCTCTCTGCTTTTCCTCAGAGTAGCTTTGCCTCGTCTGTTCCTGTTTGGCTGTGACGTCATCCTGGAAAAAAACATCAGCTGTGCTGCTTCTATCAACACCCTTGTTAATAGATGTTGGAGATCGGCCTGTTTTCCAGTGTGGTCCTGTTTCTCTGACCGTGACTGAGTGGATGTGCTCTCTTCGTCCTCTGGCATGGGAGCTGCCTTGGAGCTCGTCTGCCTGGCTGTGTGTTTCCTGGACGGGGCCGCCTTTTACAGCTGCTTTTTGTATCTCTGCTTCTGTCTCCTTGAACCCCAGTCGGCCTCGGCAGATGGCCGCTCACACTGAGCCTGGTTCTGCTGGAGGTTTCTTCCTGTTAAAAGGGAGTTTTTCCTCTCCACTGTCGCTACAAGCATGCTTAATGTGGGGGATTGTATTTGAGTCAATGAGTCAATGCAATCAACTGGTTTTCCTTAGATAGAAAACTTTGTATCAATTTGACTGTATGATCTGGTTGAACTGTAAAGTGCCTTGAGATGACATGTGTTGTGAATTTGGCGCTATATAAATAAACTGAATTGAATTGAATTGAATAAACCTCTCACAACCACCTCCTGATAAGAACTCGAAAGGTTGGAAGAAAATCAAACAGGTTTGCAATTCAGTCGGCCTTCGTGATGTAATTCATGGGAAAATCCTGCTGTTGAAGCAGAGCTACGAGCCATGTAAAAAAAAACTGCGCATGTCAAAGAAAGGGAGTTCTTCTTCTTTCAGAGTGAGGAGTCCGACCAGCACCATCACTCAGCGCTGAGTCCAACATGTGGTTTTTGGACATACAGTGTGAGCAGTAAGATTGCATCACATCATCGCCCAATACAGTGTAAAAACATGCATTTTGAGTTTTTTGCACTTTTAAACCCTGTGGTTTTGTTGTACAGTTTGAACTGTGGCTGAGTACAACTATTGAAAATATCGTAAAGTATATGCCCGCCTTTAAACAATGTCAGGGTTGTATCATCAAGATGGGGATACGACTCTAGGAGAGGCTTGTTGAGAATTATGCTTATCCAACCATTTAAATAGTTAAATATAGGTTTTAAACGGGTCATTAAGCAGAAAAGACACTTTAATTTTAAAACGCTTGTGTTGGTGTTGAGCCTCAGTTAAAACCTGCCGGACCATCCAGATTATGAAAGTGGCTCATTTTTTGTTTATTTAGAAAACAGAGGAACAATAATTGATAGATTAACTGACTACTAAAATAATCATTAGGTGCAGCCCTAATACCAATAACTTGGGATCATTAATTTACTTTGAAATTAAATTGGTTTATGACTCATTTAAAAGTATTTTTGCAAGATGTGCAAAAACATGCAAGGGAAAGAAAATTACTTAAAATACTACCGAATGTGGTTTTAAGCAGTAAAATGTCAGCCATTAGCACTAAAGGGATTGAGAACATGCTGCCTCATCACTTCTCAACATATCGAGAAGAATAGATCCTAAAATTCAGGGCTTCATGGAAGATATTTAGCTTTACAGTTTATTTTGGAGAGGTAACACAACCTACTAATTTAATAAATAAGCTCAGAGATTTAGTGTCCAGTGAGATTGTAGAAAACTTGTTCTCATGACGTATTTGATGTAGAAGCTGTGAACAGATGGTGTCAGATGAACCCTTCCTGATGAACTGTTAAAAAAAGATGTGAGTCTTACCAGCAGAAGACATGTCAGCAAAGGGATCCTCGCCTTCCTCAGCACCAATCAGGTCGTTTTTGCCCTTCTTGATTTTGCCTCGTTTCAGAACTGCAAAAAAAAAGAACAGCTCATATGAAGAGGACAAGGATATAGAGGCTAAAATTCATTTTATTCCTAACAATGAAGGAAACAGATTACCTATGATTTTATACAATTTATTCTGAAAATAAATATATATTGTAAAATAGCAGCTTTTCTATTCCAGCAAACAGCTGTTGCAGAATTTAGATGCAGATTTTGTTGATTTTAAGCTTCAAAGCTTCACTTTGAGCTTCAAAGAATAAGGACCTGGAATTAGGTAAAAAATAAATTATTGTTGACTTCTTTTATTTAAAAAGATACACGGGTATATTAACAAATGCTTTTTGAAAGCAACTGAAATTATAAAAATACAACAAAAAATGTCAGCATTTTAATAACGCTTACTTTGCTTTAATTCTGCTGATTTCCATTTTTTTTTATTTTAACAATAACCAAACAACAAAAAAATAGAAAATAAAATTAAAAAGGAAAGAGATCCAGAGTTTTAAAATCTAATTTCAAAAAGATTATGAATTTGCCTTTTTTTTCCCCTCTGTGCAGTAATAAATAACAGAAAATTAAGGTATAATAATTAAAGCAGGAAGTCTAGCATTCCCTCCATGTGGTATCTCATAACTGACCAAAGAACAGTGTGCTTACAAAAGAGAAACACAACATGATTTCTCAGTTTGTGTAATGGAAATGGAAGGGCCTGTAAGGGTCTGTGCTAATGTAAAAGCTCACAGTAGCTCTGCTGCAGGTTAATGCGCTTAAATAAAACGCAACAGAATTGGAGCAAACTTAGCAACACAAGAAAACTGCAAAATCTAGCATTCAAATTTCAAATGGAACACCTGTCATAGTCACAATTTTATGACCTAAAGTCAGAGCAACATAACCCATCTTCTAAATTAAACATGAAAGATACTCACATTAACAGTAGTTAAATGGAGCCCAGGCAGAAGTTCAACTGAAGAAACTGATTGTTCTCCTAAATCCACCTACAGCACAGCCAATCAGCTTTAAACCACACCTCCACAAAAGCCAATCGGTTCCAAAGTTCACCTTAAAAGGCCTCCGATCTGCAACTTGCCTGCTCCCTGGTGCGCAGGCGGCAGATGCGCTGTCTGACTTCATTCAGATGACTCTGTTTCAACCCACTTCCAGCCCCTCTTCCACCATCGCAGCTAAACTTCATCAGAGTGTCATTCCTCTCGGACTCTTACTGCATTCCGCGTCTCATTTCAACCGGTCCGGCAGAAGACCACCATGTTGAGCCTGGTTCTGCCAGAGGTTTCTTCCCAATGGGGAGTTTTTCCTCTCCACTGTCGCTTCATGCTTGCTCATCATGAACAGGTTCTCTCAACCTGTGTTATCCGAGCTGGATTTGCATCTTCCAGGTCCCTGAGTGAAACTCTAGTATCAGCTCACGCAGTCCACTGGATCTCCCCATAAAGCTCAGCATACCGTCTCCCTAACCAGCAGTCTACAGACTGACCAACTTCCTCTATCTCTACTCCACCACCAGTTTCAGACCTGGGGGGAAACAGCCCTATTCTTTACTCCTGTTCATGCATATCTATCAAAATTCAGCGTTGTTTGCTTCCGAGGTCTGAGCACCAAAGACAATGAAATTGTATCATTAAATTTGTTCTAATTGTCTTTTCTCTTTGTGAAAGTTTTTCAGATTGAAATGTTTTTATTCTGACTGTTTGTAGATGCTCCTTATTTAAATGTAACATTGAGATAGTCTTTCACATTCTCATTTTTAGTTTATCTGAGATGAGATGTATCACTGTTTGAATGAGCAAATTGTACCGGCATAGTAGCCATATAAACTACTGGAGAAAATTAGCTTTCACAGGATGTGAAAATGGAAAGGGTCACCTCAGAGATTATATGACTCAGACCACCTTGCGCCAAGATTAACAGAAAGCAACATCACAGGCCAATTCTATCACCACTTGTAAAAAAAAATAAAACACTAAACAACCTTGTGTAAAAAATTGCGTTGCTAAGAGAAAAATGGCGCTTACATAGTTTTTGTTATATCACTCATCTCCAGGAAATGTGATACCTGCCCTACTTCTCGCAGCGCATTTTCTGCATATTTAAATAACTGTGGTCCCCTTTGTCAGGAATCCAGTTTTTGCGGGTTGTTTTTGTGTTTCCTTTTCTCCTCCACCAGGTGGTGCCCCGTCCTCATTGGGCCTCCCTGCACACCTGCAGCTCGTTGGACCATTACCTGAGGACTCTTAAGCTTCTGACTGCCACTACCTCGAGGCCAGAGTGTTTGCCAGTTTTGGGTACTCTAGCCAAGCTGAGTTTTGCTGAGTCAAACTGAGTTTTTGTCAACCTGAGTCTTAACCTTGTTTTTTGTCTTTGCCTCTCGGCAGGAAGTCATCCTGCAAACTGGATGTTTTGGACCTTCTCCCCCTGGAAGGATCGACTGAGTTTCAAACTGAGCTGGGAATTCAAACAGGAGGTTTGGATCCACTTTTCCCCAAAGGATTGTTTGAGCTTCACACTGAGCAGGGGATTCATCTCCACAAGGAACCATTCAAGTACCATAGGAAATTTAAGGGGCAGTCAGCTCCTCCGTGCCTCAATGAAACACCTCAACCTGGGTAAACCCTGTCCGCCCTCCAAAGAGCAAGTCAATTACTGGAACAACTCACACGGACTGGATTCAGAGAAAGACAACTTTACTTGAAACTCCCGGTTCGCCAGTGTTCAGAACAGCACTGGACCCATCTCTACCTGTTCTCAGTAAACCTGTTAAACCTTCCCTTGGTCTCTCTGTTTGGTTTTCTGCATGTGGATCAGATTTTATAACAAAATCATGACACCCTTTGGTTGTATGTTTGCATTTCATCATACCTGCATAGTTTATAGAAAGTTATTAGAATACAGATAAACATGGTAGAATCAATATTATTATTTCGCTACCCAGATCTGAGCATGTCAGATGATGATATCAGACAAGCAATATATTTCAATAACGATATACTGTATATCGATCGATAGATGTGTGGCGCAATAGAAAAAAAGAGGGTCGATAAAAGTTCAATAAAAAAACGCAGTTTTCCTTCTCATTGTAGCCTAACATGTAGGTTTATGCTAGTCACACTGCTTCCTCCCAACAAATCACAATCGCGGACCCAGGCACGCCGTCACCAAGCGCCGCCCTCTCAAACCACAACACAGAGCACATGAAGATGTCGCAGCAAGGAGAGGCGGAGGAAATTGTTTCAAAGAAGGGTTTTTGTAGTTCGGCAGTCTGGCAGTATTTCGGTCATGGCAAGTCGGACCAAAAACAAACCACAGTCATCTGTAAAATGTGTCGGGAACCAGTGAAAACCAAGTCTGATAACACAACCAACTTTTTTTTTTTTTTATCATCTCAGCCGCTCACACCCGCAGGAGTACGAGCTGTGTAGGCCCCGGCGCGGCTCTCCTCCGAGGAATCTTCGGGAATTTCGGGAAAATATATATATATTTTCAGTTCTGGGCAGTTTCCCACGTAGTTCTAACAATTGAGATAAAAATGCTGAGGGGCCAGAAACTTCAAAGTAATAACTCAGGTTAAAGCAGGAAACGGGGGCGGCGGCGGCGGTGGGGGGGCATTTATTTATTTGTTATATTTATTATGGTCACTTTTCTGGTCCCTTTAGTTTATTCCTTGTCAGTATTTAATAACATAACTCAGGTCTCTTAAGTTATTTTTCTTTAAAACGATTCTGTTATGGTTAAAAAAGTTGGTTAAATAAAGATTTAATTCGAAGTCTGTGTTTGTGTTTTTTATTAAAATTAAATCATTTAGCAATATTATAAAAAGTCCAGGCAGAGCTGCACATAAAATATGGTTTCAAATCTTTTCAATAATTATCGATATCGATCCATATGCATTTTTTTTTATCGATAAGCTTTTTTTCTATATCGCCCAGCCCTAACCGAAAGCATGTAAACTTGTCTACACCACAGCCTACCTTAGTATTGTGGCTCAGCGTGTCTCTTTCACTAAAGAATAAGGAACAGTCCAATCCGATAATATCACCGTCTACCCAATAAAGTGGCTGGTTAATATGACACTACTAATATAAACCTTTTCATAGTAAACATAGCTACTGGCTTTCTTAAGAGTCCTTAGAAGTCTCTAAATTGCTGAATTTGCACAATCATCTGCATGTAATTACACCACATGTAGAGAAAGTGATTAGTATTTACCATTATTTCAGTCAGCAATGACTCATATGCCACCCATATTACTGTCCTCATAAATCCCTGAGTATGACTGACACTTTGCTCCATTACTCATACCTGTCATTTATCTGAAGGAAATGGTATTCGTATTTTCTGCACCGACAACATTAGAGTGGCATTTCCACAGCTGAGGATTCAGACGTTTTAATCCCGCATTTGTGACTAATTGGTAACACAGGATTGCCGGGTTCTGTCACTTTACTGGAAACATAGGGTGTGGATGTGTGTTAAGTGTTAGTCTGTTTTCTAGCAAAAGCATGATGGTGTGCATGTGAGTGCTGATGAGCACGGTACTTTATTAAAGCAAATCCAGTCAGAGTGGGGCTGGAAAGCTTCCTGACTGTCAAAACTGAATGTAAGGAGACAAAGCTAAAAGAAAACAACAGCTTTCATTTCCCAAATATACACTCACCGGCCACTTTATTAGGTACACCTGTCCAACTGCTCGTTAACACATGGCGGCAACTCAGTGCATTTAGGCATGTAGACATGGTCAAGACAATCTCCTGCAGTTCAAACCGAGCATCAGTATGGGGAAGAAAGGTGATTTGAGTGACTTTGAACGTGGCATGATTGTTGGTGCCAGAAGGGCTGGTCTGAGTATTTCAGAAACTGCTGATCTACTGGGATTTTCACGCACAACCATCTCTAGGGTTTACAGAGAATGGTCCGAAAAAGAAAAAACATCCAGTGAGCGGCAGTTCTGTGGGCGGAAATGCCTTGTTGATGCCAGAGGTCAGAGGAGAATGGCCAGACTGGTTCGAGCTGATAGAAGGGCAACAGTGACTCAAATAACCACCCGTTACAACCAAGGTGGGCAGAAGAGCATCTCTGAACGCACAGTACGTGGAACTTTGAGGCAGATGGGCTAAAGCAGCAGAAGACCACACCTGGTGCCACTCCTTTCAGCTAAGAACAGGAAACTGAGGCTACAATTTGCACAAGCTCATCGAAATTGGACAATAGAAGATTGGAGAAACGTTGCCTGGTCTGATGAGTCTCGATTTCTGCTGCGACATTCGGATGGTAGGGTCAGAATTTGGCATCTACAACATGAAAGCATGGATCCATCCTGCCTTGTATCAACGGTTCAGGCTGGTGGTGGTGGTGTCATGGTGTGGGGAATATTTTCTTGGCACTCTTTGGGCCCCTTGGTAGCAATTGAGCATTGTTGCAACGCCACAGCCTACCTGAGTATTGTTGCTGACCATGTCCATCCCTTTATGACCACAATGTACCTAACTTCTGATAGCTACTTTCAGCAGGATAATGCGCCATGTCATAAAGCTGGAATCATCTCAGACTGGTTTCTTGAACATGACAATGAGTTCACTGTACTCAAATGGCCTCCACAGGTGAGTGTATATATATATATATATATATATATATATATATTACCAAACAAAATTGGGTATTTCCTATACATCTATCCCATTTCTCTAACAGCAAAATTAAATTGCATAAAAAAGTCAGTCAGTGCTTGGATACTGTCTATGCACAATGTTTGAATGCAGGCTGCAGAGGCTTAGCCTTTACCTGAAAGGTTTTGTTTCCTTTTGTACCACGCACCATCCAGCGGGGACTTCTCATCAGCAATCTCATCCTCTTCTTCAAGCAACACCTCCTCTGCAGAACAACATTTATTTGTAAAAGTTTGTTCATTTTTCTCCTAAAATTGACACAAAGACACCCACTCCATTTTAGTTTCTAGTCTAACCCGCTTTGCAGATCCACTCCAGATATCCAGTGAGCTCCCTCTCGATCTGCTGTTGTCGGCGAAGCTTTAGGAACTCTTGCCTCTTCTCCACTCGCTCTCGCTCTTTGGCAAATTCTCTGACAAACAGAGAGGAAACAGACTGTTTTTACACAATCATTTACTATTCATATTAGAACATGTTTATTATTTTCTGTCTTGATTTATAATTGATATTGAAAATGAGAATTACACTCCGGAGAGGTGCCCCAAGACTGTATGTGCAAAATTTGGCATAAAAACAATCAAACCTCTCATAATAGATCAGAGTTATTTTCTTATCAACTTCAGACAAATGTTGCACATGGATACATTTGCCTAATGAGAAAAGGCCATAGAGGATGGCATAGCTGAGAAGAGAGGCTTTGTGACTCCATACTCAATAATATTGATGAACATAGGAGCAGTCAAATCCAGAGATACAGACAACTGAGAGGATTAAAGCTGGAGATCTTAATCATGACACTAGAGGTTTTACAGGAAAAATCAATTAGAGGATAAAAAGTTGTTAGGAAGAGATTAATCAGTTAAATAAACTCTCCAGTTAGTTGAGCTTGATAGCTGGGGCATATTTTGAGAATCTAGTGTAGAAATAATCGACAGACAAACTTTAACAATTAAATCAAATTGTTCTGATTCAAAATTCTCCAGTTACTTTTCATGTACTGTAATACTGTTATAATTTATCGGAAGTTTTTTAATATTAACCCGGTTCAATGTACTGGCATGTCATTTAAGCAGCACACTGTCAACACGATGCGTAATCCACCAACTACATTAAAAATTAGCCCAGGGAAAAAAACCTTTAAGAAACTTTTATCACTAATAAAGCTGCAGCTTATTGTGTTTACTATGTATTTTATCAGAAACAGACATTTTCAAGGTTTCCTGTTTAATATTTTAAAATATTTTCTAAAGATAACCAAAATTCATGAGAATAGCCAATAGTGCAAAGTGCAGTTGATAGCATCCCTGAATTTCCTGGTTACTTTCCAGCGGAAGCCTTCTGTGACCAACAGATTACTTACCTAGAATTTAATATGAATGTAAACAGGTTACTTTACCCAAACTTGCATGTTTTTTTCTGGAGCAAAACTTATAAAGGTATTTTCCAGAATGTACAGGTTACTTTAAGGGATAGTTTTTGGCTATTACATTTAGATCACAGAACATATTTTTTACCTTCCTGAAACAATAAGTTAGCTTCTGTAAACTACTGGCTGCTTTTGGAAAGTTTCAATTTGTAGAACCTAAAAGGTTTATTTTTATTGGAGATTCTTTCTCTTCCCCTTTATCCAACAGGTAATTTTCAACCTTATACTGTATGTACTTTTTTTTTTTTTTACTGGCTAATTTCAGACCTTCAAATTCTGACATACTGTCCTGGACCCTTATTATTATGCTCTTGAAATAAAAAATTACTTTAATAAAAATAAGAGGCCCCTCACCCACTGCAATTTCTAAGAACCTACAAGAAATATTTTTTTTTATTAAAATAATAACTTATTATGTTTTTTTGGATGATCTTTTACCAAAAGGGATACTTTCTACAGGCTTAGATTTTTATTTCTGTCATTACTAGGTTACTTTGATTTTCCTAAGCACACATGTTCTACAGTATGAAGCTTAATGTTTATATTCTGACAGTAGAACATTTAGACTTTGTTTTCTGAAACCTACAGATTAGTTTACCATAATTCACAGACTACTTACTATGAAGTTACATTATACTTTCTAGATTCCTTTACTTTTATTCTACGGTATTATGCAGTCCTTTCCAGATCCTAAAGATTATTTACTAAAGCTACAGATTACTTTCTAAACATTTCTTGAATTTCTTCAAATCTTTTAAGTCATAGTTCTGTAGCAAACAGAAATGTTTCTAGAACTTACTTGTTACTTTCCCTTTCACAAAGTTGGCAGGGTATTTTGCCAAGACTAACAGGTTTCCATTTCTTAAAACAACTGTTGAAATCTTAGTTTGACGTAAAGGTTTCTGTCTAATAGTTTCTGGAACTTAGACGGTTTCTTTACTAGAACCAACAGGTTACTATCTAGAACTTTAACCATAGTTTTCCAATAAAAATAAACTGTTTTTTACTTATTTATGTTACCTACTGGAAGTTTTAGGATGCTTTTCAGTTCCCGTTCTTTCCTTGCTTATCATATCTTCAATGTTCCAGAACTTATTTGCACTTTGCTTGGAACTTGTACTTTGTCTCAAAAGCTCTTTGCTCTTTTCCCAAGACTTCCAGGTTTAGTTTTCAGAAACCTTTTGGTTAATTACTTTCTAAAACTTACTTTATGGTCAAGGAGCTGCTTTTGTTAATAACTTTATTTAATAGTTAACTTGATGCACATGGATCTATTTATTCTACAGCTCATAGCATGGTTTACTTTTATGCTCCTATAAATGGGAAGGAGTTCACGACCAATACAGTTATAACTGCCTTACTCAATCACATTAATGTGCAATTTAAAGAGTGCAAGGCCCAGCTTTAATGCTGATGTTTTAACTACCGTGAAAAGTGTACATTGTTTTATATGAATAAAAAATGTCAATGCGTATCCTTTCTAAGTGAGCTTACCCTGACAGGACACCAAGCACCAGGTTGAGCATGAAAAAAGAACCGATGATGATGAGAGGAATGAAGTAGAGCCAGTTCCAGTTATTTCCCACTGCATCGTTAGTCTGAAAACAGAAAAAAGGCACATATCTTTAATCAAAGTTGGCCCTGATACTCTTACCAAGTGCCGGATGATAAAAAAAGATGCTGTATTTCTAGTGTCTGTTAAAAGCACAAAATATTCACAGCCATAAAATAAAGGTGCATGTACCACATTAAATGGCTTCCTGCAGAACCAGAACTGCTATTTCACACAAACAATTCACTACAGGTTTTCTCTCAGCTGAAATTCAAAGCATTGAATATTTATTTCAGAACAAACAAAACATTGTTGTTTCAGCATCAAGATGGGGATGGACCTTATCTTTTAATTGTGACATTTTTATTGGGGCATTTGGGGTTCTTAAAATGTCATAACCATGCCAACAACAGTGAAATAAATCATTTATCATGTGATTGATCATGCAGCAAATCACGGCCTTTCAGTTAAAGAGGCTTGACAGAGTCCAACCTGTTCTCAATAGAAACGCGGTTGCATCCATTGTAAGAGTTTTTCGACTGGAAAACAGTTGCTACAAAGTATATACAAATATATCTATAGTAATATACAGTATTTCAGGTAATTTTTTTCCACATTTCATTTATTTATCGAATTGAAAGGCTACTGGTTGGTAGTGGTAGATGCAGAATTATGAAAGCTGAGCCGGAGGCAGCCATTGGGAACATAGTTCACGGCAAATGATGCCATTAGGCTGTGTGAAATCCAGGCAACAGTGCTGCAGAACAGGAGGTATTTAGAAATGTAAATACTGTGAGCAAAACCACAATTAACTCTGTCCTCAGAAGGGACCATATGGCCATTAAACAGATCTACAGAGTTCCATTCAAGAGGAACTCTGATGCCAATATGTGGAGGTAAGAGGACATTCCCTACTATACTGTTATGCCTTGGGAAATATACTGCAGTTGCTGTCAACTGGAGTTATGTTTATGTAATTGCAATTTTTCTTTATGTTTCCTTTAGCGAATCATTGAGCTTGATGCTGATTGGGCATATCGTGGCATATTGTCAATGAAGCCGGCTCAACCTCTGGAAAGAGAGGAGACATGGGAAGGACCTCATTGGGCATAGAGCCACTACTAAAGTTCTAGGGCAGAGGGGCGCTGACAAAGATATGTGGGCTGCTATTACCAATGATAGCACACATTCCTGCAATTGGGCCCTGCAATACTGATGAGGAGTGCCTGATTGCATTCCTTGATACCCTGGATGACAGGCTCCTCCCACCTCAGGAAAGAGGACTGCTGAGGCCTTAAAAGCCACTGTTTTGGATAATCTGGGACAATGTGGTATTCTACCTCTCTGCTGTAGTGAATAAGTGGTTTGTGGTGCACCCTAGAATGATGGTGCACCACAAACGGTGGTGTCTTGTCTCTTCTGAGCCCTCTCTTCGTATCACCCGAATTGGTTTTGGTCAGCTAGTCTCTCAATGCAATTGATAAAATTTTCCCAACTGGAAGACAGGGGAAAGGGTTTCCCTCCTGTCCTGCCAGGACATACTTCGTGGGATACACCATGGACTCCTAGAAGGATGGTGTTTTTCTACAACCCTGCCTTGCTACAAGGCAGAAAAGCCTAGCAAATTCTGCATAGGGTTACCAGATTTGGATTTTCTGAAGAGCAGGACACTTTTTCTTTTCTTTGGGGGTGGGGGTCCTGCTGGACCAGGCACTTGAACCGAGCATTGAGCTCCGGGGTTGGTCCGGAGCAAATGGCCGCCAGTGTCCAGGCTACAGTACCATCATCTAAAGAGTGTAACTTTGTGATGAAAGTTGGTGGGGACACTTGGGTGGTGGATGGTACAGTTACACTTTCATTAGGCTAATTTTCAAAAAATGAGCTCAAACATTTATTTATTGAATGCTTTCCTATTTTTGGGAACACAACACCACAATACACTGATATTCATATTTAAAGATGTTAGAGAGATGCCTTTTAGTGCATTACAAATATAGGACCCAAAAACATCAATGCATGAAAAAATAATTAATAAAATCCAAATGCCATCATGCATTTGAATAAGAAGTACAATGTCAATTTCATACAGAACAAAAATTGGATATGCTGCATTTTAAATATAGCAAAGGATATTTTTTTCTTGTAAACTTTCTGGTAAACTTGGAGATATATTTTATTGCGTGTTGCATATCCCAGTAAATCTGTTTCCCCTTTAAATCTGCAGCAGAAACAAAGTTTCATGAGATCTCAATTCATTAATTGATTGATACTCTCCATTTTAAATCTTATAGAGGTGCATGAAGGTGGAAGGTGTATGATCATCACCCCTATGAGGAGATGCTCTTGGTCAATGGAATGACCATTGATTAACAAAGATACAGATGCAGATGGATTTCAAGGATGGATCTAGGATGCCAGAAGATATTTCCCCAGGTGCATCGCAGGGGAAAACATTGAGTGTGATGTAGATGAGGCCATGTTGCCAATTCCTTGAGAGAAGAGACTAGAACAGCCAGAAGAATAACATGTATGATATATCTTACCATGTACTCTCATAAGCCTACTTCTATTAGACTATAACTTCTTCTTCTTCTTTATTGTAGAAGATTATCATCTTTATGTTCCTAATTTCTGAAACAGTGATGGATTTTATTAGCTATCTTTATCTATATGTATTTTCTAGCTCTGTAGAAGTTATCACATTATTATTTCCTTTACGAATCAAAACATTATCACAATCAGTCTCCCCTGCTCTGAAAATGAAGGATCTGTTAACTCCCAAGTGTTATGCTATTAACGACAATTAAAATCGTTTCAAGAGCATTATTATTTTCTGTTAGAATACACTCACCGGCCACTTTATTAGGTACACCTGTCCAACTGCTCGTTAACACTTAATTTCTAAGCAGCAAATCACATGGCGGCAACTCAGTGCATTTAGGCATGTAGACATGGTCAAGACAATCTCCTGCAGTTCAAACCGAGCATCAGTATGGGGAAGAAAGGTGATTTGAGTGACTTTGAACGTGGCATGATTGTTGGTGCCAGAAGGGCTGGTCTGAGTATTTCAGAAACTGTTGATCTACTGGGATTTTCACGCACAACCATCTCTGGGGTTTACAGAGAATGGTCCGAAAAAGAAAAAACATCCAGTGAGCGGCAGTTCTGTGAGCGGAAATGCCTTGTTGATGCCAGAGGTCAGAGGAGAATGGCCAGACTGGTTCGAGCTGATAGAAGGGCAACAGTGACTCAAATAACCACCCGTTACAACCAAGGTGGGCAGAAGAGCATCTCTGAACGCACAGTACGTCGAACTTTGAGGCAGATGGGCTACAGCAGCAGAAGACCACACCGGGTGCCACTCCTTTCAGCTAAGAACAGGAAACTGAGGCTACAATTTGCACAAGCTCATCGAAATTGGACAATAGAAGATCTGAAAAACGTTGCCTGGTCTGATGAGTCTCGATTTCTGCTGCGACATTCGGATGGTAGGGTCAGAATTTGGCGTCTACAACGTGAAAGCATGGATCCATCCTGCCTTGTATCAACGGTTCAGACTGGTGGTGGTGGTGTCATGGTGTGGGGAATATTTTCTTGGCACTCTTTGGGCCCCTTGGTACCAATTGAGCATTGTTGCAACGCCACAGCCTACCTGAGTATTGTTGCTGACCATGTCCATCCCTTCAATTCAATTCAATTCAATTCAGTTTATTTATATAGCGCCAAATTCACAACACATGTCATCTCAAGGCACTTTACAGTTCAACCAGATCATACAGTCAAATTGATACAAAGTTTTCTATCTAAGGAAAACCAGTTGATTGCATTGACTCATTGACTCAAATACAATCCCCCACACTAAGCATGCTTGTAGCGACAGTGGAGAGGAAAAACTCCCTTTTAACAGGAAGAAACCTCCAGCAGAACCAGGCTCAGTGTGAGCGGCCATCTGCCGAGGCCGACTGGGGTTCAAGGAGACAGAAGCAGAGATACAAAAAGCAGCTGTAAAAGGCGGCCCCGTCCAGGAAACACACAGCCAGGCAGACGAGCTCCAAGGCAGCTCCCATGCCAGAGGACGAAGAGAGCACATCCACTCAGTCACGGTCAGAGAAACAGGACCACACTGGAAAACAGGCCGATCTCCAACATCTATTAACAAGGGTGTTGATAGAAGCAGCACAGCTGATGTTTTTTTCCAGGATGACGTCACAGCCAAACAGGAACAGACGAGGCAAAGCTACTCTGAGGAAAAGCAGAGAGAGCAGAAGGTTAGAGATTGAACTAACAGATTCTGCAGAATAGGAGAACAGAAAGAGAATGAAGCAGAATGATGAAATGGGGGTCCCTATGTCCTCCAAAAGTCTAAGCCTATAGCAGCATAAATATAGAGAGAGAGCTCAGGATAACCTGAGCCACCCTAACTATAAGCTTTATCAAAAATGAAAGTTTTAAGCCTAGCCTTAAAAGTAGACAGGGTGTCTGCCTCACGGACTAAAACTGGTAGTTGGTTCCACAGGAGAGGAGCCTGATAACTAAAAGATCTGCCTCCCATTCTACTTTTAGAAATTCTAGGAACCACTAGTAAACCTGCAGATTGAGAGCGAAGTTCTCTGTTAGGAACATAAGGAACAATCAGATCTCTGATATAAGATGGAGCTTGGCCATTTAAGGCTTTATATGTGAGAAGGAGGATTTTAAATTCTATTCTTGATTTAACAGGAAGCCAATGAAGAGAAGCCAGGATAGGAGAGATATGATCTCTCTTTTTCATTTTCATTAGAACTCTGGCTGCAGCATTTTGGATCAGCTGAAGGCTTTTAACTACAGTTTGTGGACTTCCTCATAGTAAAGAATTACAATAGTCCAGCCTTGAAGTAACAAATGCATGGACTAGTTTCTCAGCATCACCCCTGGACAGGATATTTCTAATTTTTGCAATGTTCCTCAGATGAAAGAAGGAAATTCTAGAAACCTCTTTGATATGGGATTTAAATGACAGGTCCTGATCAAAAATAACACCAAGATTTTTTACTTTATTATCTGAAA